TTTTATTTTTTTCTTCTTCTTTTGTTTTTTATTTATTTTTGTTTTTGTTTTGTTTTTTGCCGGAAACCTTCCATGTCCATAAAAAATTATTTCTGTGTAGATTTTACGGAAAAATGTTGATTTTAAGTCACAAATGTAAATTTTCCCCGCGGGCTCTCATGCCAGCATGCAATGAAAGTAATCAAACTTTGGGGGCCATTTTCTCGCTATTTTGACCTCTAACACTGCACAACCCCCACCTCCTTCAGTTGCCAATATTTCGACTTGTATTCCTGATAGATGGGTTTCATTTTATCATGAGCAAGGCAAAAAAGCAGACTTTAAAATAATATTTTAAAAACTTCATTTGCCCCCCCCCCCTCTCTCTCCCAAACCTCCCTCTTCTAAATTGATTAATTAATTAAGTAATTAATCAATTAATTGACTAGACATAAGAGTCTTGAACATCTAGCTCTCACTGGCAAAAATTGAAGGCCAACGAGGAGCGGTAGGCCCAGAGCAACCTACTTAGGGAACCTAAACAAATGGGTAACAGGGAAAGATCAGGGAAACGTAGCTTTTTTTTTAGAGCATCCGAGCAAAGGAATGAATGGAGAACCAAGATCGCCGATGTCTTTCCCAGATCTGACACTGGATGATAATGAATTAATTGACGAGCGCCTGTTTCCACCACGTCATGACACATAAAACTGATATTATCTACACTTAGCCTCGCCCTAAAAGTATCTACTCTCTCTATCTCTCCCAGCAGACAAGTCCAGGAGAGCAGGGAGTCCCCCATCAGCATGTCCACCAACAGCAGCAACAACAACAACAGCAGCAGCAACAGCAACAACATCACCACCAACAGTGGGGCTACAGCATGGGTGTCGGTGGGATGTTGGCGAATGGGCGTGGAGCGGAGGACTGGCCCCAGAACTTTCTCTTGTCCGGATCCAACGCTATGTCGGTGAGAAACAGGTTTTTTTCTTTTATTATTTGGGGAGGTCGTTGATTTTTTAAAGTTTCTTTTCTAGTTTTCTTCTTTTTTTTTTTTGCTGTTGTTGCTTGTCGTTGGGTTTAATTTGTTTTGTTTGTGGGTTGTTGTTGTTGTGGGTTGTTTTTGTGTTTTTTGGGGGGTGGTATTTTGTTATGTTCAAAATTTCGTCATCATTGTTTTCTCGTAACGAAAAGACATACATGAATAAATGCTTCACTTTGCCGTTCTAATTTTCTGTGTAGATTTATTGCATTCCAATCGTCGGTTCCGTCCCTCCCCCTCCCCCCTTTTTTCCCCCTTTCCTCCTCATTCTTCGTTTGTCTCTATCTTTCAGTGATCCTGACCATTTTTGTTTTGCCACCTATTCCCATACAATCATGATACAGCAAACAACAACAACAACAACAAAAA